AGGTCTCGCAGTCCCTCACCGTCTCCCACCTGGCGGCGCGCTGCACCGCGCCGAGCCAAGCCAAGCCGCGCCGAGGTGAACGCCTCCGCCTTCGCGCGCGCGGCTGCCCCCGTATGCGGCGAAAGTGTTTCGAGGAAGTGGAGCGCCGCCTGGCGCTTCGGGTCTACTTCTCATCTCATTCATTACCCTTACTATTCTTCCGCTTCTTCTTCTCTTTCTTCTTCCGCTTCTCCTTCTCTTTCTTCTTCCGCTTCTCCTTCTCTTTCCTCTTCTGCTTCTCATTCTCTTTCCTCTTCCGCTTCTCCTTCTATTTCCTCTTCCGCTTCTCCTTCTATTTCCTCTTCCGCTTCTCCTTCTATTTCCTCTTCCGCTTCTCATTCTCTTTCCTCTTCCGCTTCTCATTCTCTTTCCTCTTCTGCTTCTCATTCTCTTTCCTCTTCTGCTTCTCCTTCTCTTTTTTCTTCTGCTTCTCCTTCTCTTCCTTCTTCTGCTTCTCCTTCTCTTCCTTCTGCTTTTTCCTCCATTTTGTATTACATTTTTCCTCTTCTTCATGTTTCTGCCCTTTTCTTTTCTTCTCTCTATTCATTTCCTATTCCCTCTCGCCTTCTTCTCTTTAAATGTTTATATCTTCTTTCCTTCCTTCCTACATTTTACTTCTCTCCATATTTTTTTTTCTTTTTCTCATATTTCTTCTTCCTTTGCGTTTCCTCCTCTTATACACTTACTTCTTGTTCTCTTTACCTCTATCTCATTCAGTACTATTTTTTTCTGCTCTGGAAGTGTTAGCAATGATGTCGGGATACAGAAAATGTGTCACAATATTGCATCGATAAAATTAAAATTGAATATGGCTTTTAAAAACTCTCAAATGGCACCGGCATTATTTTGTTAGCTTGAAAACTTCTGATAGAAAAGAAAACAGCTCCTGATGAACAATTTATTGTTATTGAAATAAATTTATTTAAACAATTTCCACTTATTGATACATTGCTCGCAAAACAATCCAAAGGAGTTATCACATATTGCAGGAATTATCGATATTTTATGAACAGAAGTACTCCCATTTCTGCGTTCCTGGCAGAGAGAGTTCTGTTTCTCGGCAGGGTGCTGGTTGTGCGGTAAGACAATGTTCTGTTAAGAATCTCTGTCAAATTTAGATTATCATGGCCTCTAAGAAACATGAACAAACATAATGTTGCAATTACTTCTGTTTCGGCAACATTCTTCACTCCGAATTTGCAATTTCCCAGAAGATTGTGGTAAGTTTGACAATTCACGGCGAAGGTAAGGTCACAGGAGCGCAGCAGAACTTCGCTTCAGATAGGCGATTCCAAGAACTGTACTGCAAACTCGAATGTGATACTGTATAAATATTTCTTTTCGTCATTCAAAATACTGTCAAGCTGAGAAATATGAAAAATGTGTCATAATAGGTAAAATATTTAAAAATATGTACAGTAAAGATGGATTTAATACATTCAGAATACCTTTGAAACAAATAAATAAATTCCAGATATCTTTTTTCTGTACAAATATGTATTTACCAGTAAATAATGTGTTTTTAAACATAAATATATTCCCTTAATAAGTGAATACAAAGCATTACTTTTTATATTGGAAAATCTTTTTTTTTAATTTGTATTGGCGCTTATTTCTACTATGTATTGTACTACTATGTACATGTACTATGCGTGCAATAATTATATAATGCATGGAATATTTTTTAAGTGAAAACGAATTATGTTTCTAGGAACTGTCCGTGAGTTTCAGAGATTTGGCATTTGATTATTCATTGGAACAAGTTTTGTTCGTCATAAAACATTCATGAAGATAAAGTAAAAGGGAGAACACAGGTGACAAAAATTGTCCATAACAATGAAATTATCGGATGACACATACTGACTGACAATGAAGTACAGAAGGCAAAAAAAAATCTTCAAAAAATATACAGCTAATGCATTTTACTTAAGGAAATGTACAACGAGGAAATATCTAGCATTTGTGGTTCAACCTCGAAGCAAGGAGAATTAATAGAAGTTGTATTTTTCCGCAAAGTAGGACTAGCGACAATTTGAAGTTGAAGTTAAGTCGTAAACCTTGAGTAAGCATTACTATTTTCCATAAGGGAGAATTTTCCTTGAAGTTCTAGTCGCTTCCGAAGACGACTCATGATTTACATTTACATCTCTGTGGAATAGTGATGTTTTGGACGACTTACTATTGTGACCCACAATAAATATTAGGAAATTGCTTTCAAGATGCAAATCTTTACTAGCTGAACCTTTATTGCGCATGCCATTTCAAGCAAAACCGTTCAGTTCATGAATCAAATTAATTTCAAGTAAAATAATAAATGAAAAATTGTAAAAAAAAATGGACTTGCAGTGATTAGCTACAATTTTTTTTTTTTTTTTTTTTTTGCCCTTAAAAGCTTGATCATTACGATATCAAGGACATCGCAATCATTTTCGACAGACATCTGCATATTACACGCTTGAAATGGGAAACGAATAATGAATGAATATTTTAAATGAACACTATTTTTAGAGTACTGCTTAAGAATATTAACACAATGAAGAAATAATTACACAAATTTAATTATTGAAATACGAGATTCTAATGAGTCAATTGACGCCTGGAGTTCTTTGTCCTGAAGAAATTTGAGAGATCTCTCTTTCACCTATACTTTATTGTTCTTGTTCGTTATCTTCATCCTTTTTTTTATGTGCCATACCAAATATAGCCATTGTTCATTGTATGTACGTTAAATCGCAATATTTTTCATCTATTGTTTTAATTTTTTAGTAAATAAAAAATAAAGAATCAATAAATAAAGTATAAAAAGTCGAACCTACAATTTGATTTTTTTCTAACATGATGAAAAAAATAACTTTTTAAAATGCACTGTGATCTTAACCGAATCCACTTATTAGATAGACAAATAAAAAAGGAGTCACTAAATAACTAATTGATTCACGTTTCGAAAAGCTAGTGTGGCTTTTATCTTTTCCACTTTATAAATACTTTATGAATAAAGAACTTTGGTGGAGTGTGTTTTAGTTTCTAGAGCTAACATACATCTTTATCAAATTCGTGAATAATTCTATTCTAAATGCGATTTTTCGACATCGCGTACTGAATCAAGAGAATGTGTATTTGTATCTGGCAGAGTACGTAATTATGTGGTTAATTTCATCTTCTTTCATTCAATCCTCGTAACTTTCATCTCGAGTGATGCGGTATTCCTGACTCAGAATGAACTTAATTTAATGCGGGTACAGCGCTGAGCTTGCAAGCGATATGTGAATAATGCATTCATTCTACAAAGGCTCTGTCGTTCTCATTCCGTATTCTCTCACTGGAGTCTCATTGCTTTTAATAGTCGCTTCGTGGTTTGCCTTCGGAACTATTTTTAAACCTACTCCAACAAATGTTTAGTTCATTACTGTATTTTTTGTGTCACAGGAAATTCCTTTTTGCTTACCCATATGCAAATATGTAATTCATGCAAATTAATGCTCAGTGTTTGATGCCATAACCGAGACTACTTCATTAGTGTTTATTAGTAAATCAATAGATCGTACTTCTTCTGTACGATCAATACTTCTGTCTAGGATGACTACTCGCATTCCGAAGTGCAAAGAATCATAGAACAATAAAAAAACTATTAATATTAATACGTTTTGCGTGCAAGTGAAGAGAAACACTTTTGTAAATAATATTAAACTTTTGCACAATAAAAACTGTATTCCATTTATGCCATTAACTTGCTTAAACGCAAATATTATTCTTAAAATATGTTAGTTACAGTATGTATTGCTCAATTTCTGTACTTTTCTTGAAAATTTCTTACTCATTTTTTTTGGTAAATGGCAGGAGAGTCCAATCGAGATTAGATCGTTCTCGTAATGATTTTGGTAAATCCGCTCGAAAATGTTGGCGATCCACCCGATTGAAATC